TCCAAAAGAGCAAACAAAGTAAAATGCAAAAAGCAGTAAACTATAGTACACCTCACCTTGGCTGCTGTGTAATTCACACTTAGTTGCCAGCTAAGTGTTAATCACGCGACACACGTCAACTCTCAAGTGAATGCACTGCGTGCGTTTTTTGTTGTGTGTGTATTCTAGTGAGTTGTACCCTCTATAACTTCGCCATCTGCCTCTAGAAGCTGCCTGCTGGTGAGACAATAATTCTCTGAGACACCTTATAGAAGAAAACCCCTATCCCTCTCCACCCCAGTGACTCCTTCGTCCCTCCCCATGCCATCACCAAATGTTTTTCTTAAAAAAAAAATCCCTGAACCAGTTGTACCCGCTTCTGTTTCCATGATTTGCCCCCCTCTTTTCCTTATTCCGGTGCCTACTTCCTTCTCCCCTCCGAATGCCACACTACATTTACCCTCAGGTATTTCGCAGTGTGCTTGTACAGGCTGCGCCCTCCGCCAGTTGTATCTGCCTTGGGGAAGAAAAGTGTTAGAAGGGTTGTCACCAGAGATAATGGAAAGAGCTCGTCTGGGAGTTCTGAAAGGGCGACTTCTGAGAGTGAAGGAAGGAAAAGCGTTCAAACGGTGTTCACTGGAGATAGTGGGAAGAGGTCAGTTGTAAGCGTTGAGAGGGCGTCCGTTGAAACTGATAAAAGAGGAGGGATTCAAACGGTGTTCAGTGGCGATGTGAGGAACTTGATTGTACGCGTTGATAGGGTGGCACCAGGAAACACTGAGACGCCATCACATGAAGATTTCGAAAGGGTAGAAGTTAGGGGTATCAATGTAGCAGCAGGTGTGAATGTTGAAGGGGGAGCAATCGGGGATACTGAAGCGGCAACAGCTGGGGATATAAGCGCAGGAGTTGGGGATATCGATATACCGACAAGCGTGGATGTTGAAGTGTTAGGGATTGCGGATGGTGAAAGAGCAGCAGTTAGTGATATTGAAGCGGCAGCAGCTGGAGATATCGAAAGGGGAGCAGGTCCTGTTGTTAAAAGGGCAGCAGCAGGGGAGATTGAAAGTGCAGCAGAAGTTGGGGATAGGGTTATTGAAAGGGTATTAGCTGGGGATATTGAGAGGATAACCGTCCGGGACACTGCAAGGGCAGCAGATGGGGAAAAGGAGAGTGCACCAGAAGTTGACACTGTTTTGGCACCAGCTGGAGACATTGAAAACGGGTCGCCTGTGTAAGTATTTTTCAATAACTAGACACAGGGGAGGGAGGAGAGGGGGGGTGGGCAGGTTTTTTTTAGGGGGTGGGGGACAGGGGCGGAGGGGGCGGGGAGGGGGGGAGGGGAGAGAGAGGGGGGGGGGATAGTTTAAGCTTTTTGATGCCATGTAACTGACGACACATGTGCGAAGACTTGTAACGCTTATCACAGGCGTGTCATTTAATCAGCTTCACACCTCGTGTACCAAGGCAAATTGGAATGTGGAGTATGATATTGTGATAGATTTTATGTAGCTTCGCCTACAAAGAGACACAGTAGAATCTTCGACGTGTAGCTTATATCGGAACTTCCCGCGTTCACCTCCGTCTGACACAAAAACCAATCTCGAGGATGAGCTGCTGTTGCATCACTCCGACAAGTTGTCTCGAACCGCGTTCACCTTCGTCTGACCGAGTTTTTCGGTGACGTTCGGCATTCGTCCAAGCTATCACGTGTCGGAACGGGTCATCACGTGTCAGCAGCTGAGCTGCTGACATGGCGGCTGTGCACCATTTCCTCTCTGCGATCCCTGGTTCCTCTAGGCGAATCGTCAGTCGCCACGTGTTTGACTTCGCAGCTCTCCGCCATTGTCAGCCAATCGGCGCGCGAACCGCTACACGAGTCGCGAAGGCTCGACCTTTGAAATGCCTCGGGCAGGCGATTCGTTTCAAAGTGACCTCGTCGTTAGCGCAGGTCCGGGCAGCCGAAAATACATCCTGTTCAGACGAGCTGACCGTACAGGTGTGTAGCACTGGCGGTTGCCGTATTCTGCTTGACACGTGGCAGTCGCGCGTTGCTAACGGCTCCTTTTCCGTTTTGTGTGGATCGTGTCGCCGTCCAATCCCGTTCACTCCGCCCAGGATGACACGTGGCAGGCGCTGAAGCGGCTCACATTGGGGGACTCCGCGGAGAGCTGCCCCGTAGAAGTGCGCGATGGGGGGAAGACTGGCGGAGGGCGGTAAGCATGGGGACGGGGAAGATGAGCGGAGGGCGGTAACTGTTTTTTTGGTTGCCCTGTGCGACTCAGGAATCGCCTATCGTGCGACTCCGCGGAGAGCTGCCCGGTAGAAGTGCGCGACGGGGGGGAAACGGGCGGAGGGCGGTAGGCTCGGGCGGGAAGGGGGGGAGACGGGCATGGGGCGGTAAGCTCGGGGGGGGAAGAGGGTTGTGGGGGGAAAGACGGGCGTGGGGCGGTAAGTATATTCTGAGTCCCACGGCCATTTACTCAAAGGTTCTCAGAAGTCGTTGCCTCACTGGGGTGGGGGACGCCGCGGAGAGTTGCCCTGTTGACGTGCGCGATGGGGGGAAGACTGGCGGAGGGCCGTAAGCATGGGGAGGGAGGGGAGGGGAAGGGGAGAGGGATGGGGAGAATGGAGGATGGGGGAAGACGGGCGGAGGACGGTAAACGTGGGCAGTGAGCAGTTGAATGAGCGGGCGAGGAGTGGGGGAGGGATGGGGAGAATGGAGGATGGGGGAAGACGGGCGGAGGATGGTAAACGTGGGCAGTGAGCAGTTGAATGAGCGGGCGAGGAGCGGGGGAGGGATGGGGAGAATGGATGATGGGGGAAGACGGGCGGAGGACGGTAAACGTGGGCAGTGAGCAGTTGAATGAGCGGGCGAGGAGTGGGGGAGGGATGGGGAGAATGGAAAATCACCATTTTCTTCATTTTCTTCAGACCACCTCTTTGACCACCTCTTTGACCACCTCTTTGACCACCTCATTTTGACCACCTCTTTGACCACCACTTTGACCACCATTTTGACCACCTCTTTGACCACCATTTTGACCACCTCTTTGACCACCATTTTGACCACCTCTTTGACCACCACTTTGACCACCATTTTGACCACCTCTTTGACCACCACTTTGACCACCATTTTGACCACCTCTTTGACCACCATTTTGACCACCTATTTGACCACCACTTTGACCACCATCTTGACCACCTCTTTGACCACCACTTTGACCACCATTTTGACCACCACTTTGACCACCATTTTGACCACCTCTTTGACAGCACCAAAGTGTTTTTGTTCCCGCCATTGTCTCGCTCTGCCTTACCCACAATCACCCCCCCACCTCTTGCCCCCACCCACTGCACTCCCCCTTCCACCTCATCGTATTCTTCTCTCTCTCCAACTCTCTTCTAGAGAGGGTGTTTTTGAGACGTCTACACCCTCCAAAAACACTCTCTAAAAACACTCTCCAAAAACACCCTCCAAAAACACCCTTCAAAAACACCCTCCAGAAACACCCTCCAAAAACACCTTCCAAAAACACCCTCCAAAAACACCCTCCAAAAACACCCTCCAAAAGCACCCTCTCTACACGTGCCTTCCACCTCATCATATTCTTCTCTCCAACTCTCCTTTTCCCCCTTCCCTCCGCTCCGCCCCCCTCCTTTCGTCTCCCCGCCATCCAATCGCTGTCTCTGTTCAACTACAGCGGCCTGTACGCCACCCAGCCAATAGAGAAAGGACACGTGTTCCTCACTGTACACAGGGATCAGGTCAGCGTGTGTCTCTCTCTTGAGATTTCTCATAAGCCTCGTCTACTTCCTCCACTCCCTCCGCTTCCTCCACCCCCTCCGCTTCCTCCACTCCCTCCACTTCCCAACGCCTCTGCTTTGTTTCTTCCAACTCAATCCATCGTTTCATGACTACCACGAACATTGACGCCACTGTAACTGCTATTATTGCCCTTCTCGGTTCTATACCTCATGTCTTCTCTCTTCCTCCCCTACTTCTCTTCTCCTCCCATCCAAAATGGTCCTTTGTACAAGCCGTTGCCAAAAGCATGCACCCATCCCTGACCTCGCTTCTGTTCTCAATCCCCTTTATCCTCCCCCCATCTTCTTTCTTTTGCCGATAAATTGTTTGTAATACGCATTCACCGCCCCCGCCCTCCCAGTCACCCCTCTTTCCAATTACCCCCGCCCTCCCAATCACCTCATCACCCGTCTTTCCAACAGATGATAACGGGTGACTCCCTTCCCCCACCCCTTGGGTCCCTCCTCCCTCCCTCACTCTCTGTGTGGGCCCGCATCGCCCTCTTCCTCCTCCTCCGCCCTTCCCCCTCCCATTCCGCCTCCCATTCTGCCCAACACCAACACCAACACCAACACCAAGACCAGCAACAAGAAGAACACGACAACATCCACCACCAAGACCAGCACCACCAAGACCAGCACCACCAAGACCAGCACCACCAAGACCAACAACAAGAAGAACACGACAACATCCACCACCAAGACCAGCACCACCAACAACAGCACGAGCGCTGGCAGCCGTACATCTCATCGCTCCCGCCATTCAGGGCCGTTGATTCCACGGTCAGTGCTCTCAAGCATCATAACTTGGTTTTGAGTCGACTCAAAACTCGACTCAAATCTTTTTAGTTGACTCAAAACTGGGCCGTTGATTTCACGGTCGGTCAGTGCTCTCAAACATCATAACCAGCACGGCCGTTGATTCCAGCTTTGTGTGTGTGACCGTTGTTGAGTCGACCCAAACGTCTGAACATCGACAAGCAACAACAGCACGAGCGCTGGCAGCCGTACATCTCATCGCCCTCCCTGCATCACAGCCGTTGATTCCACGGTCAGTGATCTTAAGCTGAACAGCTAGCCTTGTGTGACTGTTGAGTCAACAGCTCAACACATCTCTCCCCTTTTTTGAGACGTCTCGAAACAGCTAGCCCTGTGTGACTGTTGAGTCGCAAGGAGTTTTTGAGAATTCTCTCCCCTTTTCTCTCCTTCCACGAATGTCTATTCGGCGCCTTAGATACTCGTTTCTCCCCCTCCCAACATCCCCCTCTCCCCCCCCCTCCTTTTATCCCTCCGCCAGGTCTGGTTAGGGGAGCACAAAGGGGGCCATGCGTCTGGTCTATGCTTCTGGACTAAAAGCGTAGTGTTGAGTCGACTCATAAAAGGGCCATGCTTCTGGACTAAAAAGCGCCCTGAACATTTGTTTCTCCCCCTCTCAAAATATCACACCACCCCCTCCCCCCCCCCCCCGGTCCTTCCTCCCCCCTCCCCCCCCCCCCCGGTCCTTCCTCCCCCCTCCCCCCCCCCCCCGGTCCTTCCTCCCCCCTCCCCCCCCCCCCCGTCCCCCCCCCCGGTCCTTCCTCCCCCCTCCCCCTTGATCAGGTGTGGTGGGGGCAGCACGAGAGGGCCATGCTGCTGCCCTCACTGTACAACGACACACGAGATTGCCTCAACTATTCCTCCTTTCTCCACCTCCCAACATACCTCCCCTACCCTCTCCCCATCTACCAGGTGTGGTGGGGGCAGCACGAGAGGGCCATGCTGCTGCCATCGCTGTACAACGACACACAAGATCGGACGGCTCTTATTCAATCTGAGTTCGCCACCATCCAATCGGTAACACACTGCCAATTGCCCTTGCTGGCTTGCCCTTTCTTGCTGGCTTGCCCTTTCTTGCTGGCTTGCCCTTTCTTGCTGGCTTGCCCTTTCTTGCTGGCTTGCCCTTTCTTGCTGGCTTGCCCTTTCTTGCTTGCTTACCCTTTCTTGCTGGCTTGCCCTTTCTTGCTTGCTCATAATAGCATATCACTCACAGTTCTCTCCCTCCCCCCCCTTGCTGCCGCACTCTTTGCTGCCCTCCCTTTGCCCCCCCCCACGTATTGCCACCCCTTGCTAACCGTCCAACCTTTTGTTTTAGCTCGTGCACGCCTCCCCCCTCCCCTTCCCTCCTCCTCTTCTCCCTTTCTTGTCAGTTGAAGACAGGTGAGCTGCGAAGACCTTGAACTATCCTTCTCCCCTTTCCTCCTCTTCTCCCCTTTTCTCTCCCTATTCCCCCCTCCAGGCGACACCCATCACCCACACCTGCACTGTTCCCCGTTTCTCCCCCTCATCATTCCACCATCCCTCCTCCTCTTCTCCCCTTCTCTCCTCCTATTCCCCCTCCAGGCTCTCACCCATCACCCACACCTGCATTCGTTCCTCCCGAACCTGACCTACGACCAGTTCTGCCATGCCTACTCGCTAGGTACGGCATGTGATGCATTTACAGAACTAGTGCAGACTGGTGCAGGTGCAGAGTCAAACCTGCCTTGAATGGTGCAGGTGCAGAGTCAAACCTGCCTTGACTGGTTAAGGTGCAGCGTCAAGCCTGCCTTGACTGGTGCAGGTGCAGCGTCAAGCCTGCCTTGACTGGTGCAGGTGCAGCGTCGAGCCTGCCTTGACTGGTGCAGGTGCAGCGTCAAGCCTGCCTTGACTGGTGCAGGTGCAGCGTCAAGCCTGCCTTGACTTGTGCAGGTGCAGCGTCAAGCCTGCCTTGACTTGTGCAAGCTGGGTCAAACTTGGGCTGGCTGGGGTGCAGGGTGGGTCAGGGTGGGGCAGAGTGGGGCAGGTTAGGCAGGGTGGGGCAGCTTTCATACAACAGTGCGACATAGGGCCAAGATGCTAGCTCACTAGGTGTGGATCAAGTTCTCCTTTTCCCACCCCCCTCCTCCAACTCCCACCCCACCCCCTCCTCCACTCTCTCTGACTCACTTTCCCTCCTCTCCCCTTCCCTCCCCTGCCTGCCGCAGCACAGTGTGTTCCCGGGCGTGGGGGATCGAAGCTTTGGGCAATCTTGCTCTGGTGAGTGAGTGAGTGATTAATTGTTGCCCTGCTGTTACAGGGTGTTTTCCAAACAGATCATAAGTACCCTCCAAATTTCACGGGTGTGGGGAACCTCATGCACGGACATGGTTAATTACCCGCTCACACACTCTCCTCCCACACACAATCTCCTCCCACACACACTCTCCTCCCTCTCACACTCTCCTCCCTCACCACCCCTCACCATTTCTCACCACCCCTCACCATTTCTCACCTCCCATCACCACTCCTCACCACCCCTCACCATTTCTCACCTCCCCTCACCACTCCTTACCACTCCTCGCCACCCATCACCACCCTTCACTCATTCCCAGCAACCCCCAGGTAGCTTTTGCCGACATGGTAAACCACAACCCTCACACGCCCACACACGCTTCTCCTCCCACACCCCCCCCACCACCCCGCTGCACCCATCACTGCCCCTCATCAAACCCCCCAGGTACCATATGCCGACATGATGAACCACAACCCCCACTCGCACACTCTCCACCCTCACCACCGCTCACCACCCCTCACCACCCCCCAGGTACCATATGCGGACATGATAAACCACAACCCCCACTCGCACACTCTGCTGTGCTACGACGAGGAGCAGCAAGCAGTCGAGGTGCCTTTTGAACCCTCTATATCCCTCTCGCTTTCTACACCCTTCTCGCCTTGTATGCCCTGCTTGCATTTCCAACCACAATACCCACTCGCACACTCTGCTGTGCTACGATGAGGAGCAGCACGCCGTTGAGGTGCCCTTCGGGCCCCACCACACCCTTCTCCACACCCTTCTCCACACCCTTCTCCACACCCTTCTCCACACCCTTCTCCACACCCTTCTCCACACCCTTCTCTACACCCTTCTCTACACCCTTCTCTACACCCTTCTCTACACCCTTCTCTACACCCTTCTCTACACCCTTCTCCACACCCTTCTCCACACCCTTCTCTACACCCTTCTCTACACCCTTCTCTACACCCTTCTCTACACCCTTCTCTACACCCTTCTCTACACCCTTCTCTACACCCTTCTCTACACCCTTCTCTACACCCTTCTCTACACCCTTCTCTACACCCTTCTCCACACCCTTCTCCACACCCTTCTCCACACCCTTCTCCACACCCTTCTCCACACCCTTCTCCACACCCTTCTCCACACCCTTCTCCACACCCTTCTCCACACCCTTCTCTACACCCTTCTCTACACCCTTCTCTACACCCTTCTCTACACCCTTCTCTACACCCTTCTCCACACCCTTCTCCACACCCTTCTCCACACCCTTCTCCACACCCTTCTCCACACCCTTCTCCACACCCTTCTCTACACCCTTCTCTACACCCTTCTCCACATCCTTCTCCACACCCTTCTCCACACCCTTCTCCACGCCCTTCTCCACACCCTTCTCCACACCCTTCTCCACACCCTTCTCCACACCCTTCTCCACACCCTTCTCTACACCCTTCTCTACACCCTTCTCTACACCCTTCTCTACACCCTTCTCCACACCCTTCTCCACACCCTTCTCCACACCCTTCTCCACACCCTTCTCCACACCCTTCTCCACACCCTTCTCCACACCCTTCTCCACACCCTTCTCCACACCCTTCTCCACACCCTTCTCCACACCCTTCTCTACACCCTTCTCCACACCCTTCTCCACACCCTTCTCCACACCCTTCTCCACACCCTTCTCCACACCCTTCTCTACACCCTTCTCTACACCCTTCTCCACACCCTTCTCCACACCCTTCTCTACACCCTTCTCCACACCCTTCTCCACACCCTTCTCTACACCCTTCTCTACACCCTTCTCTACACCCTTCTCTACACCCTTCTCTACACCCTTCTCTACACCCTTCTCCACACCCTTCTCCACACCCTTCTCCACACCCTTCTCCACACCCTTCTCCACACCCTTCTCTACACCCTTCTCCACACCCTTCTCCACACCCTTCTCCACACCCTTCTCCACACCCTTCTCCACACCCTTCTCCACACCCTTCTCCACACCCTTCTCCACACCCTTCTCCACACCCTTCTCTACACCCTTCTCTACACCCTTCTCTACATCCTTCTCTACACCCTTCTCCACACCCTTCTCCACACCCTTCTCCACACCCTTCTCCACACCCTTCTCCACACCCTTCTCCACACCCTTCTCCACACCCTTCTCCACACCCTTCTCCACACCCTTCTCCACACCCTTCTCTACACCCTTCTCTACACCCTTCTCCACACCCTTCTCCACACCCTTCTCTACACCCTTCTCTACACCCTTCTCTACACCCTTCTCTACACCCTTCTCTACACCCTTCTCTACACCCTTCTCTACACCCTTCTCTACACCCTTCTCTACACCCTTCTCTACACCCTTCTCCACACCCTTCTCCACACCCTTCTCCACACCCTTCTCCACACCCTTCTCCACACCCTTCTCTACACCCTTCTCTACACCCTTCTCTACACCCTTCTCTACACCCTTCTCTACACCCTTCTCTACACCCTTCTCTACACCCTTCTCTACACCCTTCTCTACACCCTTCTCTACACCCTTCTCCACACCCTTCTCCACACCCTTCTCCACACCCTTCTCCACACCCTTCTCCACACCCTTCTCCACACCCTTCTCTACACCCTTCTCTACACCCTTCTCCACACCCTTCTCCACACCCTTCTCCACACCCTTCTCCACACCCTTCTCCACACCCTTCTCTACACCCTTCTCCACACCCTTCTCCACACCCTTCTCCACACCCTTCTCCACACCCTTCTCCACACCCTTCTCCACACCCTTCTCCACACCCTTCTCCACACCCTTCTCCACACCCTTCTCTACACCCTTCTCTACACCCTTCTCTACATCCTTCTCTACACCCTTCTCTACACCCTTCTCCACACCCTTCTCCACACCCTTCTCCACACCCTTCTCCACACCCTTCTCCACACCCTTCTCCACACCCTTCTCCACACCCTTCTCCACACCCTTCTCCACACCCTTCTCCACACCCTTCTCTACACCCTTCTCTACACCCTTCTCCACACCCTTCTCCACACCCTTCTCCACACCCTTCTCTACACCCTTCTCCACACCCTTCTCTACACCCTTCTCTACACCCTTCTCTACACCCTTCTCTACACCCTTCTCTACACCCTTCTCTATGCCCTGCTTGTAATTCCAACCCCAATCCTCACTCGGACTCTTTGCCGTGCTACAACGAGGAGCAACAAGCAAATGAGGTACCTTCGTCGCCAGTTGAGGTACCTGTCTCCTGCTGCGTTGAAGTTCAGTTCTCCTGTTTCCTTGCAGCGCCTTGAAAATGCATTTAACGAGCCTCTCAACTCAAAGCTAAGCCCCCAGCACCCTTGCAGAGTAGAGCTGGATTCGAACCGCAGCAAGCCTTTAATGCATTTAACGGGCCTCTCAACTCAAAGCTAAGCCCCCACCCCAGCACCCATTCTCGTGCACTCCTCCCTGTAGTTTCCATCCATCCTCTCCCAAACTATTCTTTTGCTCTGTGGCCTCTTTCCCTCTTTTCAAATCATAGCTGACCCGCTCCTGAAAGTTTTTTTTTCCCCGATTTGTTTTTTCCATCCTGCCCACTGCCCTTTTTCCAGATCATTGCTGACCGGGACTACGAACCAGGGGAGCAGGTGATAATTGGTGCAGGTGATAAGGGGAGCAGGTGATAAGCGGTGCAGGTGATAAGGGGAGCAGGTGATAAGCGGTGCAGGTGATAAGGGGAGCAGGTGATAAGCGGTGCAGGTGATAAGGGGAGCAGGTGATAAGCGGTGCAGGTGATAAGGGGAGCAGGTGATAAGCGGTGCAGGTGATAAGGGGAGCAGGTGATAAGCGGCGCAGGTGATAAGGGGAGCAGGTGATAGGCAGGCGGTGCAGGTTATTATTAGATCATGTGCAGTTCAAATGTATGATGTGGTGATAGTTACGTTGCCTCTTTACTGTTGTTATGAAGTTTCTGAATTGTCCACTGCTATCGGTCTTGTGAAATGAGGGTGTTTGTGAGACGTCTCATTGCTATCATATTACGTGTCCATTGCTATCTGTCTGGACCTGTCTGGACCTGTCTGGACCGTGAATCACATGCTTCTCACCCTTGATGTCTTTCCTTCACTTTGTGCCTTCTCCTGCCCTCCGCCCTCCCACATCTCCCCCCCGCCATCCGCATCCCCCTCTCCCTCCCCCTCTCCTTCCCCCTCTCCTCCCCCCTCCCCATGACCCCTCATACCACGCAGGTGCGAGTTAGCTATGGCGATCTCTCCAGCGGTGTGCTGGCTTTTGACTCAGAGCAGCCCCCCTTTTGAGGCGCCTCAAAAGCTTTTGACTCAGAGCAGCCCCCCACCCCTTCTTTTCCGTCCCGCCTCCGCACTCCCCCTCCCGTGCCCCATCACCCCCCCTCATCCCACCCAGGTGTTAGTGAGCTACGGAGATCTCTCCAGTGGTGTGTTGGCGCTTGACTTTGGCTTCACTGTGCCTGACAACCCGCACGACTCTGTGAGTGCCGCACGACTCTGTGAGTGCCGCACGACTCTGTGAGCGAGCGGGGCGCGACCCTTCCCTGCTGTCACCTGTCCAGTCGACTCAAAAATCTCCAGTGGTGAGCTGGCGGTGGACTTTTGGCTTCACTGTGCCTGACAACCCGCATGACTCGGTGAGTGGGGCATGACTGTGTGAGTGGGGCATGACTGTGTGAGTGGGGCATTGCTCTGCTGGTGGAGGGGTCCTTTTTGGGGAGGGGCCTTCTTGGGGAGGCGCAGCTGCTGCCTTTTGACCCGCCTTGCCTCAGGATACTCTTAGCACCTTGTATGGCCTTGGCACACCCTCCTTGGCACACCCTCCTTGGCACACCCTCCTTGGCACACCCTCCTTGGCACACCCTCCTTGGCACACCCTCCTTGGCACACCCTCCTTGGCACACCCTCCTTGGCACACCCTCCTTGGCACACCCTCCTTGGCACACCCTCCTTGGCACACCCTCCTTGGCACACCCTCCTTGGCACACCCTCCTTGGCACGTGGAGCTGTGTGTGCTTATAACGAGCAGCAGCAACCCCCGTGACGCACCTCTCAATGTGCCCAAGAGGTGGCTTCTGGGGGAGGCACAGCTGCTGCCTCATGCCATCCTCTTCCTCCTCCTCCCCCCCATTCCCTCGCCCTCGTTCCCAAGCAGGTGGAGCTGTGTGTGCTTGTAGCCAGCAGCACCACCCCCCACGACACACAGCTCAACGAGGCCAAGAGGCGCCTTCTGGGGGAGGCGCAGCTGCTGCCGTGTGACTCTGCCAGAGGCGCCTGCTTTGTGCTCAAGTGAGTGCGAGTGTGAGTGCGAGTTTGAGTGTGAGTGTGAGTGTGATTATGAGTGTGAGTGTGATTATGAGTGCGAGTTTGAGTGTGAGTGTGATTATGAGTGAGTGACTGAGTGCAAGCGTGTGTGTCGCCGCGGTTGTGATTGTGAGTGCGAGTCCAAGGGAGTGTGTCAGGATGGCCGAGTTGGTCTAAGGCGCCAGTTTCAGGTACTGGTCCGAAAGGGCGTGGGTTCAAATCCCACTCCTGACATTGTAGCCCAGACCTTTTGTTGGTCCGAAAGGGCGTGGGTTCAAATCCCACTCCTGACATTGTAGCCCAGAGATTTTGTTAGCTCGTGTTTGCCCTTACTATTCGTCATCCCTTCTACCCTTGCGAGTGCGAGTGCTGCAAGCGAGGCCGTTGTTTCCTGTACAGCAGTTGTTTCCTGTACAGCAGTTGTTTCCTGTACAGCAGTTGTTTCCTGTACAGCAGTTGTTTCCTGTACAGCAGTTGTTTCCTGTACAGCAGTTGTTTCCTGTACAGCAGTTGTTCCTGTACAGCAGTTGTTTCCTGTACAGCAGTTGTTTTCTGTACAGCAGTTGTTTTCTGCATCAAAACGGCCATTCTGAATAGAGTCGACTCAGGGGTCTCTTCTGGGGGAGGCGCAGCTGCTGCTGTGTGACTCTGCCAGTGGCGCCTGCTTTGTGCTCAAGTGAGTGCGCGTGCGAGTGTGAGTGAGTATGAGTGTGGGTGCGTGCGAGTGTGAGTGAGTATGAGCGTGGGTGCGTGCGAGTGTGAGTGAGTATGAGCGTGGGTGCGTGCGAGTGTGAGTGAGTATGAGCGTGGGTGCGTGCGAGTGTGAGTGAGTATGAGCGTGGGTGCGTGCGAGTGTGAGTGAGTATGAGCGTGGGTGCGTGCGAGTGTGAGTGAGTATGAGCGTGGGTGTGTGCGAGTGTGAGTGAGTATGAGCGTGGGTGTGTGCGTGCTGCAGCAGAAGCCATTGTTTTCTGTGGTAGGAGCCATTGCTGTGTGGAGTCAACTCAAAGGTCTCTTCTGGGGGAGGCGCTTCTGCTGCCGTGTGACTCTGCACCTGCTTTGTGCTCAAGTGAGTGCGAGTGGAGTGATTGTGAGTGGGAGTGAGAGTGGGGGTGTGAGTGCAAGTGGGAATGGGAGTGTGTGAGATTGTGAGTGCGAGTGTGTGAGTGTGCGGGAGTGTGAGTGCGAGTGGAGTGCGTGTGAGTGTGAGTGCAAGTGGATTGAGTGTGAGTGTGAGTGCGAGTGGATTGAGTGTGAGTGTGAGTGCGAGTGGATTGAGTGTGAGTGTGAGTGTGCAGGATTGACTGCCAGTCATAGGATGCCTGCATGGAGATTTTCCCCTCTTCTGCCTGCATTCAGCTCAAGTGAGTGATTTTTGCGTATTTTAAAAAATTATAAAATAACTCCAAAGCATTTTCAAGAGTGGTTGCGTGCATTTGGCCCAGGTGAGGAGTGACTGAAGCAGAAACCGTCAGTCGTGTCGAACAAAATGTCTCATCCGGTGGAGGTGCGGCTGTTGCCTTGCCAAGTGAGGTTGAGTGAGTGAGTGAGTGAGTGGGCGAGTAAGCAAGTGAGGGAGAGAATAAGTGAGCGGTGAGTGAGTGTTAGTTTTTTTACTTGTGCCCTGTGACTATTCCGCTGGTGCCTCCTTCATGCTCAAGTGAGAGAGTGAGTGTGAGTGCGAGTGTAAGTGTCTAAGATGTCGTTTCGCAGTTCGGACACCAGCGAGGGTTCCCCTTTTCACTACGCTTTCAGGAGTATACTTCGGGTTTCTTCCGACTTGGTGAAACACTACTGATTGGCCACGTTCACCAACATAACTGGGGACAAAACCAATTGACCAATTGATTTGAAACAATGTTCCACTTGCATCTTCAGAATACCCTGGTTCAACCATCTGTATGTGCAATGCAAGTGTTTCTTTGGGTAAGTGTTGGAAAAGCCGTCCGGGTCAGATGCTGTAGGGTAAGAAGGTGCAAGCCATTGATGTCCGAACTTCGCTTGGTGTCCGAACTTCGGAACGAGCTCTAAGAACGGAGTTGCCCGCCTGCGCTTGTGTATGAAGAAGTGTTTTGAGACGTCTCAAAACGAGCTCTAAGAACGGAGTTGCCCGCCTGCGCTCGTGTATGAAGAAGTGTTTTGAGACATTTCAAAACCAGCTCTAACAACGGAGTTGCCCGCCTGCGCTCGTGTATGAAGAAGTGTTTTGAGACGTGTCAAAACGAGCTTTAAGAACGGAGTTGCCCGCCTGCGCTCGTGTATGAAGAAGTGTTTTGAGACGTCTCAAAACACTTGCCCGCCTGCGCTCGTGTATGAAGAACTGTTTTGAGACGTCTCAAAACGAGCTCTAAGAACGGAGTTGCCCGCCTACGCTGGTGTATGAAGAAGTGTTTTGAGACGCCTCAAAACGAGCTCTAAGAACGGAGTTGCCCGCCTGCGCTCGTGTATGAAGAAGTATTTTGAGACGTCTCAAAACGAGCTCTAACAACGGAGTTGCCCGCCTGCGCTCGTGTATGAAGAAGTGTTTTGAGACGTATCAAAACGAGCTCTAAGAACGGAGTTGCCCGCCTGCGCTCCTTTAATAAAGTAGTGTTTTGATTGAGACGTCTCAAAACGCGCTCTAAGAACAGAGTTGCCCGCCTGCGCTCATGCATGAAAAAGTGTTTTGAGACGTGTCAAAACGAGCTCTAAGAACGGAGTTGCCCGCCTGCGCTCGTGTATGAAGAAGTGTTTTGAGACGTCTCAAAACGCGCTCTAAGAACGGAGTTGCCCGCCTGCGCTCGTGTATGAAGAAGAGTTTTGAGACGCCTCAAAACGAGCTCTAAGAACTGAGTTGCCCGCCTGCGCTCCCACCCTCAGGCTCCATCGCGACTCCGCTAGTGTCGGTGCCTCCTTTGAGCACAAGTGAATGTGTGCTTGGAAGGAATTTACCTTGCGACTTTTGAGACGTCTCAAAATTCCTTTGAGCACAGGTGAATGTGTACTCGGAAGGAGTTTATTTTGTGATTCTGACAGTGGCCCGCCTGCCCTCCCACCCACTTCTCCTTCCTCCCACCCACCCACTAGGCGCATCGACTCGCCCGCATCGGATGGCAGGGGCTTGCCCTTCGCGCTGCGAGCCATGGCACGAATCCTCACAGCCAGCAGCGAGGAGCAGGTGAGCAGTGATAATAGCCATGTAACCAGTGGGTTAGCATGTAACCGTTGCACCACAGCGCAGCAGCCGATGGGGGCTTGCCCTTCACGCTGCGAGCCATGGCACGGTGTCTCACAGCTGCCAGCGAGGAGCAGGTGAGCAGCAACGGGTTACCACATGATTACCAGCGGGTTACCGGATTGTTGCCATGTAACGGTTACACCACGGTGCAGCATAAGATGGCAGCGGGTGAGCAGCTGCCAGCGACGAGCGGGTGAGCAGCAAGGGGTTACCAGCGGGTTACCAGAGTGTTACCATGTACCCGTAGTACCAGGGGCTTGCCCTTCGCCCTGTGAAAAATGGCTCGTCTCCTCGCAGCTGTTTTTGAGTCGACTCAAAAGCAGTCTCCTCACAGCTGCCACGACGAGCGGGTGAGTACCCATGGGTTACCAGCAGGTACACGACATGGCACCACGGTGCAACCAGTTACCTTTTGAGATGTCTCAAAACCTGGTGAGCATTCTTAGTGCTTATTAGTGATCAACGAGAAGGCGTGTTTGCCCTTTGTGTTCAAGGCGTGTAGCAAGAGTCCACACGGCCTGCAGTGATGGTGGTGCCTGCCACGTCAGATCGAGCACAAAAGGACGGCTGGATTTTCTTCAGAGAAATCTCAAAAGTGGATTACATTAAAGCGTCTTCACGGGTAACTGCCACTCCATTTCAAGTTGGCTTCTGAAAGTCTCTCAAAAACCTGCTTGCCTCTTGAGAATGCTCAAAAGCATTTCAGGCAACGTTTACTTTGGATTCGACTCAATTTCAGGCAACCTCACAGCGAAGGCAATTGCCATTCCACGTCAAGACCTGTCCCTCCCTTTCAACCCCACGCTCCCCTTCCACCCCCTCCTCTCCCCATCGCGGATCTCTGCTGTCTCCTGCAGTGTGGCGATTTCTGAGGCGCCTAAAGTATCCCCCCACGCTCCCTCCTTCCGCCCCGTCCTCTCCCCATCCCCGCCGTCCGCTTTCTCCCTCAGCTGCAATTCCTGCGAGAAGAGGGGCGGCAGCACAGCGGCACGGTCGGGAGACGGCCAATCAGATCGCAGGGAGGGGACGGAGGGGGGAGAGAGGGATGGGGGAGAGGAGGAGGGGGAGGGGGAGGAGGGGAGGAGGTAGCTGGGGTGGAGGGCTGGGAGGGCAGGGCGATGGAGCTGCTGTTGTTGCTGGTGGAAGAGAGGGTTGAGCACTTGATGGGAGCACGACAGGTGAGATCTGATGAGCACTTGATGGGTGCACGACAGGTGAGATCTGATGAGCACTTGATGGGTGCACGACAGGTGAGATCTGATGAGTTTGTAGGGGTGCAGGTGCACGACAGGTGAGATCTGATGAGTTTGTAGGGGTGCAGGTGCACGACAGGTGAGAGGTAGAAAGAGCACAGGGTGTGTGTGGCATGTGAGTGCTGATGCTTGGAAGGCAGGGCAGGGCGACGGAGCTGCTGTTATCACTGGTGGAAGAGAGGATAGAGCACTTGATGGGTGCACGACAGGTGAGAGGTGGCGAGAGCACAGGGTGTGTGTGGCATGTGTGTGGGATGGCAGAATATTGCGTGCTGATGCTTGTAAGGCAGGGCGATGGGGCTGTTGCTGTTGCTGGTGGAAAGAGAGGATAGAGCACCTGATGGGTGCACGACAGGTGAGACATGATGGGTGCATAGGGTGCTGAGGGGTGCTGAGGGGTGCACAAGGGTGCATGGAAAAACGGCGTAAATTGGTGGAGCCAAGCATGATGATGATGGATGGCAGGGCTGTTTCGTGGCTGCTGCTGTTGCTGGTGCGAGAGCGAGCAGAGCAGCTCATGGGTGCATTCGGCAGGAATGGAAGGCAATTTGATGCCTAAAGAAAAAAGCATTCGAACCATAACGTTGCACTATCACATTCACTCCCGCCATTACTGGAAGATCAAATCACCAATACCGCACCTTGTGAGAAAAGGGTATTTGTACATATGTGTTGTTGCAGGATGTGAAGAATTTGGCGTCCCAAGTGGACGAAAGCTGGCTAGCGACTGCTATGCGGATCATAGACAGCCATTTGGCGGTCTTGCGTTCTGTAGCGGCATGGTTGAGGCCTCGGGCGTCTGGGGGTGGTTTAGAGCGCGTGTTTGCCATTCCAGAAGCTCGTCAAAGTTGGAGCTCTTTTAGATGAGACGGGCTTTCAACATTCCTGGCCTCGTTTAATTAGATCTACCATGTTGTGGTAAGGAATGCTTTTAGCGTTCATGTAAGGTTATGAAGTGGAGAATGTACCTGAAGGGAGCATACTATATGAGGTATGCATTTCTCCTAGATTTCGAGCAGCCAAATTTGAGCCGAAACATCCCCCCAGGGGCACCCCTATTGGCTCCCTCCCTCCGCCCACCCCCGCCCCACCCCCCTTCCCTCTTCCCCCACGCCCCCGCGCCTCCCCGTCCGCCAAAAGTGACTCTTTGGGGTGAGGAGGGAAGGAATTCCTCTTTCGCCCAGGAAGTGGGGAAGGTTCCATTGTTGTCGGTGCCATCCTTCTTCGGGATGGACGGACAAGATTCACTCGGAGACTGCGAGGCACCAAATCTCATGTGTGACAAGGGAAGGTAAATCTGCGGGATGCCTTCCTTCTTTAGCTCTTCGCTGTTCCTAGAGCGGATCCTCCTATTCCCCTCGATCAAATTGGTTCACAACGATATTGTGCAATCCAAAGCGATGTTCTTCTTTACCGCTTTGAACCGTTACCAACCTGAACATTGTTGTATGAGCTGTAAGCCAACTACGGCTGACCCGCCCTTATCTTCTCATACACCATGCTCCCTAGGTCGCGTCGCGTCGCCGCCTCCCCCCCTCCCTCCTCTTCCCCCTGCCTTGACGTAACTCAGTTTGGAATTTTCTTGCTGCGTTGCACACAACTCAGTAACGTCTATAGGAGGAAAATGTAGAATCATTCATTCCGCGAAGCATGAGGCAGCAAGCATTCCACGACGACGCGATGCGACGGTGGCGTGGCGCGTGGTCGGAGGTTCGTCGGCGCGTGCTGCCAGCGAGGTTCAACTTGAAAAGGAGCGAAAGAAGCGAGGGCAGGAGGATAGGACGGGTTCATTTGTCCGCACGCAGGTCCTCCTCATTCGTTGATGCTTTGAAATCCAGCATGCGGCTTCTGCTCCGACCGAAGTGCCTGTCACGGCACCTGCGCATATATCACGCACCATCACACCACACACCTGAGAAACGTACAGCACCCAGCACGACACAGCACACTCCACATCCCTGCTCGTCCACCCCCTCCGTTCAACGCAAGCGCGAACGCGAACAGGCATGTCAATACACATCAGATCAAACATCCTGATGAGATGACCCACGCGATGACTGACTCATCAGTGTGTGCGGACGCCTCTTAGTACAGATTGTCGTAGGGCCACCGAATGTCGGCACCACGCCTGTCGAAGTCCCTGGGGCTCGAACTTGCGCTCCCCAACTCCTCCCAATCTGACCCTTGGTTGGGGGTAGGTGATTGATTTGGCGCCCTTAAGGGTCACGGGCACACCCCAAAGTCAGAACTTGAAATCAGGGCATGTCTGAAGTTTGCCCTTTACACTTCTCTACACTATGACAAGTGCAGTTATCTACTTAAATTAGAAGTCAAAGACACCTGACACTACACTTGCGGCCAATCAACTTAGCCAAATTCAGGCACGCTAATCCTATGTGTCCTCCCAGCTGTAACATGCGGCCAGCTAGTATTGGCTTGGACGCTAAGGGAAAGTTCGAGTGCTCCATGTGTGTCTCAGCCACTTTACAGATACGGACGGGATTGGTTCGAAAACGCTAAGGGAAAAATCCCGTTGGCGCGCTCTCGGGGGGTGGGCAGGGGGGGGGGGGGTGGGGGTGGGAAGGCAGAATTCGGGGGGGGGGGCCTACAACCGGAAACCAAAACTTTGTGGGTGGGGAAGGCCTGATTGGAGAACCAAACGCGTCCGGGGAAGGGTCTGACGAGGCACTTAGTGGCACGGGTGCAATGCGATCCTAACACTTTATGCAGTCGAGCTGGAGCGAAAGTAACCCGGAATTTCAGGGCATTAAGGGCATATGCCCGTCAATCGACAGGCCTGGTCGGCACGCGTGTTCAGTTCAGAGCGATACTGTACAGTGCGTTACAGTTTCATCTCTTCAAGAAAGAAATCAAAGCTTCTTTGAGAAGCCAGCATAATACTGTACTGCTCCTATTGCTGCTATCGCACCTATTTTTAAGCCTGTTCCGCTACACGCAAAAAAAAAAACATACTTACTATCCAGTGCGCCGCTAAAGCTCTGAGCTCCCTCACAACACCCTCAACCCGTCCGACTTTAGCAACGGCAGCCGTTGCGACTTCGGCGACCATCGTCTGAATCGCTGCGACATTATCGCGACGACCATCATGGCTGTGTCCGTCTCGACGGCGCCGCTCCCCGCGCTCCCGGCGCTCATGCTCCTCCTCGCGAGCCTCTTCGCGGCGCACCTCGCGCCTCGCGCGGCAGCTGAACGGCCCTTCCCCGCTGTAGTAACATCTGCTGAGCTCAGCTCCTCTGCGGAGTCCGCGGCGCCCGTTACAAGCACGTCGTCGTTTGTCACGCACGTGCGCAGGCAGCTGCTGTTCGAACGGTACAGCTGCGGCCGCTCGCCGCTCAAGGGGTACACGTCGTCGAAGCGCCTCGCCTCTGGGTGAGCAATCTATTCTAGGGGCGCCTCACAAATGGACTCCTCCGGCGGTTTATCTGTAGGTAGAACTGCGGCCACTGCTAGCGACTTGCCTCAAGGGGTGCTACCCCAAATTTATTCGGCGGAATTACTCAGTAATGTCTTATGGAAGCGACTCCCCTCTGGTTGTGAACGGCCGCAGTTACTAGCGGCTAGTCTGAAAAGCAGATTCTTGCCGCGTCGACTCAAGTCCCCTCCCTGTACACGGGCCTGTTTTTGATTCGACTCAAAAGCATGTACGAGCGGTCCTCCTTGACACGCAGTTCACATAGCCGACGTGGCTTTCCTCTAGGACACACCTGACTGATTCCTCTTGTATCCGACTCTAACTCACCTTGTACACCTGGCATGGCACGCACACGCATTTTTAACGTCTCCCCAAACCTCTCTCTTTTCCTTCAGCCTCGCTCTCCTCTGGAAGGCCACAAGCGGGCGCACAATGGAAGTTGCTGTCTGGGATGGGAGGAGGGGGGGAAGGTGTCGGGGGGGGTGTGGGGGGGGAGAGGGGGGGGGAGGGGCCGGGGGGGGAAGGGGAGGTAGCCGTGGGTGTTTTTGAAGGGCTCAAGAAATAACGTTTTGTTCCCCATCCCGTTTTTGTCCCCCATCGTATCTCCCTTCTCCCCGTCCAGCCTCGTTCTCCACTGGAAGGCCACGAGCGGGCGCAAGATCAAGGCCGCTGTGGTGGCCTCAGGAGCGGCTGCAGGGGGGTGGTTCGCAGTGGGGTGGTCTCCCAAGGGGAAGATGGACGGCAGCAACGCGGTTGCCATGGAGGATAGCAACAACCCTCCTGGCGTGTACGATCTTGAAGGGACCTCCGCTGCGAACGCTGCGTCGTGGACCGTCGGATCGCCGTCGATCTCGAGTGCTGGTGGCAAGGTCACGATGAAGTGAGTGCTTTCTTTCTCGGGTGGTGGGTGTTGGGTGCTCAGCGCAGGAGTGGGTGCTGTGGGTGGGGTGGCTAGCCACGAGGTGGTTCAGTAGTGGGGTGTTGGGTGCTCAACGCAGGAGTGGTTGCTGTGGGTGGGGTGGCTAGCAGTGGGATGGTGCGGCAGGGAGGGGGGTGGATTGCAATGGTCACTCAGGGGTCACATGGACGGCCGCAATGATGGTGCTGTGGAGTTAGCGAGTAGGCCCCCCTCCCAACTCTCTCCAACCCCCACCCACCCTCCTCCACCCCCCACCTTAAAATGACCTTTGAGTGGACGCCGCAGACGTTGTTACCGAAGGGCAGTCAAGGATGTGTTTATCGCTTCAGTTTATTTCTCATTGCCGAGTCTGGGTTACTCCTTCTGTGGTGTTGTATGTTGGGAATGCAGGTTCATCAAGAACAAGGGGGATGGTGCGTCTGTGAAGGTGAAAGCTAATGGCAACAACAACATTGTATGGGCGTATGGCGATGGCACTGCAGTTTCCACACACACCAACCGGTAAGCAGCTCCTCACCTTGCCGTGCGGCCCACTGTGTGCACAGCGAGTATTCTTTTGCATACTGTAATTGTTCCTGCATCTTGAACAGCTCGTAAATATTGTTACTGTTTACACATAAGTTTAGCTTCCCGTCCCTTCTTGGTGGCCCTTGTGTGCAGTGGGAACGCGGTTGTGAATTTTGCATGTGGGTGCCCTCTTTTCAGAAACTGCTGACGAACTTTTATGGATGTGTTCAACATAATGCTTCAGCTGAAGTAGTGTTTGTATATTTGTTACGAGTGCAATTGAGTGAACGGGCGAGAATTGCACTATCGAAGCAAGAGTACAATGAGCGAAGGTATGAGCGAAGAATATATAGCGAAACTACAGTGGTAACGGTAATGGTCGCGCAACGAGCCTGGGACTGAGGTTGGGAACGTGTCGAAGCGTAGGCCCGGAGCGCGGGTTACCAGCCGAGCCGTAAGGTCGGGATGCGATGTGCGAAAATGGCGGGATGATGAATGATGCGATGGTCGCGAGTGGTAACGGTGCTGACTGAGGTGCTACAGTGACGTACGCGTTGAGCAGAGGTGCGAAGTAAGGAAAAGGGAATTTCCTTCCACTACCCTCCCCTCTAAATGGTCCTCCTTACGAAAGCGCGTGGACGTCTTTGAAGTTTCGGCTGCGTAGATAGTCGGTGACGACAGGGTGGTTTTCAATTCTGTCTAGGGGAACCCTGTTGTCCTCGGTGGGTGTACGATCTTTCCGGCGAATCAGAAACACAACTTTTCGGGCCCCTCGAGGGTCTCGAACTCTGTGGCTCAAGATTTTGTCGGGGGTGATGACTGGTTCGGTTGGTGGTCGTGACATGCTGGATGGTCGATGTCGTGGGAGTTGGCTGGTGGATGGTACGTAAGGGCGAAGCAGGCTGACGTGGAACGAGGGGCTGACGTACCAGTCACCAGGAAGGAGGAGGTGCGTGGTGACAGTTGTGACCATGTCACTGATTCGAAATGGCCCACAGTATCGAGGGCGGAGTTTGGGAGTGATGGGCAGGCGGAGGTTCTGAGTGTCGAGTAAAACGAGGTCGTCGGGCTGATAAGTGACGGGTCTGCGGTGGCGATCGGCGTTGCGTTTAGCGATGATATTTGATTTTTTGATTGCTTCTGCTGCCCTGGTCCGTGCTGCTTGCAAAATCTCGGCGAACTGTTGTGCGCGTGGAACGGGATTGTCGGGGTTTGGTGTCATGGGTACTGTTGGGTTCTGTCCGTAATTCAAGTAGAATGGCGACTGTTGGGTCGTGGCAGATGGCGCGTTGTTGTATGCGAACTCGATGAGAGGCAGCTGCTGTTCCCACGTGTTTGGATCGTCACACGTGGCTCGAATGACTTGCTCCATAGTCTGGTTTGTCCGTTCTGTCTGTCCGTCGGTTTCGGGGTGATACGATGAACTGAATTGAAGTCGCGTGCCGAACTGCTGCCACAGGTTCCGCCAGAAATTACTGGTAAACTTCGTGTCCCTGTCGCTGATGATTGACGCTGGTATCCCGTGCAGTCGAACGACGGTGGCGATGAATAGTCGGGCTGTTTCCTCGGCTGAAATTGATTTCCTGCATGCTGCGAAATGTGCCATTTTCGTTAGTCGATCGACGACGACCAGGATCGCGTCATTCCCACTTGCCCCGGCCGGTAACCCTGTGACGAAGTCCATCGTCACCTGCTGCCAAGCACGCTCTGGAGGTGGGATTGGTTGTAATTGTCCTGCCGGTCGCTTCCTGGTTGACTTCATGAGTTGGCAAGTGGGACACGATGCCACGTGTCGTTGCACGTCGGTCAACATTTCCGGCCAGTAATAGTACCGCTGCAGCTGTTGCCGTGTTTTTTCTACTCCGAAATGTCCCGAGGAAACTCCGTCGTGTGCCTCCTGTAACAGTAGTTCCCGTAGTAGTGTGTACCCTGGTACCCAGATGCGGTCGGATCCAGCTTTTACGTAATAGGCTCCCTTGGCTGCTGCGAATTGCTGTGAATTTCCTCCTGTGAAGAATGGGTCTGTTTGATATCCGTGGGTAAATAGTCATGTCAGTAACGGGCTGGTCTGGGCGAGTAGTATCGCATGTATTTGGTGTGAAAGAAAGAACGAGAATGAATGAACTATGAATGAAGTGAGTACAAATATGAAACCCTAATTGGGTTGTACCCCCTATGGGATACCCCACTATAGCCTACACAAATATATGTAAGCTATAATGTTCTGACACACCCCCATAGGCAAAGTGGGGGAGAACAAGGGGTCACAAGACCAGTCAAGCAAAGCAAAGCAAAGCTCAGGGTGGATCACAAAGTCACCACACATTCCGAGCACAAGTTCAAGGGCCACAAGGCCAGTTCACATGCAAGATCATATATAGAGATATACAAGAGTCAAGCAAAACAAGAGCAAGAGTATATATAGGTCAAGGTACAAGCAAGGTCAAGAAGTGAGCAAGTGAGGCAAGACAGGCACAAGACCCAGCTGCATGCAGCAACGCTGATGATCACAAGGCGCAAGTGCCTTGGTGAAGACATCAGCAGTATTGGCCTCAGAGGCCACGTACGCAAGTCGCAACTGTCCACGCTGCTGTAGCTCACGAGCAAGAAAGTAGCGGAGAGCAATGTGCTTTGTCCTGTGCTCCAGTCGCTGCTCTCGACACAAGGCCAGCATGGCCTTGTTGTCTACGTACAGGACTGGAGGAGAACGAGGCGGCTCTCCAAGGTCGGTCAGCAGGTAGGTGAGCCAGCGAAGCTCCTGAGCAGCCATAGCCCCGGCGTAGATCTCAGCCTCACAACTGGAGCCGAGAACAGAAGACGAGCGGGTAGCCCGCCACGAAACAGAGCCGGAACCAAGGCTGAAGGTGTAACCCTGTGACGACCGCTGCGTAGCCTGGTCGTCAGCCCAAGAAGCGTCCGCGTGCCCTGTGAGGACCACTGGACTGCGCCCTCCAAGCACTAGCCCCATGCCCGACGTACTGCACAAGTAGCGCAACACCCTCTTTGCTGCAGCCATGTGCTCTGGTCGGTGTCTCCCAGGAGCAACATAGCGTGCGAGAATGCTAAGAGGGTATGCAAGGTCAGGTCGTGTGCAGGTCATCAGGTACATGAGGCAGCCAACAAGCTCTGCATACGGGCCACTCGACTCTACGGACTCATCCGAAGGCAGAGCTGAGCGCGAGTGACGAGTAGGCAGAGGAGTGGCCTGAGGCGAGGAGTACGTGAAGCCGAAGCGCTGAAGGACCTGCTGCACCATGTGTGACTGAGTCAGGGTAATGGTGCGGCGTGCTCTGTCCCAGGTGATCTGCAAGCCAAGGTAGCTGCGCAGTTCACCCAGGTCAGTGCACGTGTGTCTCTTCTGCAGCTCAGACTTCACGTGGGCGAGTCCAGCAGTGTCAGCTGTGGCAAAGACCAAGTCGTCAACGTACACGAGGATGTAGAACGGCGGCAGAGAGGTGTCGGTGCGCAGAAACAGCGACGGGTCGGCAGTAGAAGGAGCAAACCCAAGTGCCGCCAGCGTAGTCCTCAGTGTGTCGTGCCACTCACGTGGCGCCTGGCGGAGACCGTAGACTCGACGCCGGAGACTCCACTGGGTACCAGGAGGGAAAGACCCAGTGAAGCCAGGCGGGCGACGCAGCCAGATCTCCTCGTGCAGGCTGCCCTGCAAGAAAGCTGTGCTGAAGTCGAGAGAGTGCAGCTCGTAGTCACGGTGAGCAGCAACGTGCAGCAGTACCCGAAGAGTGGTCATCTTCGGGGTGGGGGAGAAGGTCTGAAAGTAGTCAACTCCCTGCCGCTGACTGAAGCCACGAGCCACGTAACGCGCCTTGAAGACAGGCGGAGAACCCGGCGGCCGCTTCACCCTAAAAATCCACATGCCACTGACGATGTTCGCCCCAGGAGGGGGAACAGCGTCAACGTAAGTGCCTGTGGACTTCCAGGAAGCCATCTCTGCATCCATAGCTGCCTGCCACTGAGAGGAGTAGGGACCCTCTATCGCCTCCGCGTAAGAGCGCGGAGTCGGAATGTCTAGTGCATCCGGGTCTCCCTCAGGGGCGAGCAGTACAGACGCGAGATGAGGTGAAGCGGCGGCCAGACACTGGAACTCCTCCTGCCTGTCCTCAAGGACGTCCGTGCCAAGGGCACACTCACCCCCGACGGACGGAGGACAGGCAGACTCAGACTCAGCAACAAGACTAGTAGCGTAGTCTAGACGACAGCGCGCAGCAAAGTCGACAAGCTCAGTGACAAGGGCAGACGCAGCAGAAGACTCGAAGGAAGGGTCAGTGACAGCATTAGCAAGGAGACGCGTGACAATGGGACTGGCAGCACGAAGAGAGTCCGACTCCGGGTCGGCAAGAGCAGGAAGAGAGGACTCAGGAGGAGAAGGCAAAGGGGCACGCAGAGGAGCAGTGGACGGACGCAGAGACATCCGGTGCGTGCCAGGGACAGGAGGAGGACGCTGACGCGAACCGCGACCACTAGTGCGTGCAGGACGAACAGGCGACGCAGGACGAGACGCAGGCTCACGACGCTCAGTAAGACCTCCAGTCGGACCAGCGTAGGGAGAAGGAGCAGGCAAAGGGGAGGCAGGCTGTAGCTGTGACTGGGACTGGACAGGCTGTAGACCCCCTAAGGGAGGCGGAGGAGGACCAGGAGAAGGTGTAAGACCAAGAACCTGCTGCAGGAGCGGAACGAAGTACGGTCGGGGCCGCGTGGCGACGCCAGAAACAGCAGGGACAGCACCAGTACCCCCAGCAGGAGTACCCGCTCCAGCAGCACCTCCAGCAGCACCTCCAGCAGCACCAGCAGCAGCTCCAGAACTCCCAGCAGCACCAGGAGCACTGCCAGTCGGACCGCCAGCAGTAGTCTCAGCGCCAACACCCTCAGCAGCACCAGCTCCAGGAGAACCATCAGGCCCAGCAGCTCTAGCAACCACAGCACGAGCACCTCCGGGACACGCCACAGCAGCACCCTCTGCAGCCGAAGAACCTCCAGCAC